TGAATCAAAATATATTTTATAATTTTTTATTTTTTTCCATGCAACCCAATGAGAACCATTTTGAGTAGAATTATTTAAATTAAATATCCCACATTCATTTAACMAARGTTTTTCAGGTAATYMATTTATCATGAAAMRACCTCTAAAWTTTTTTATATTATTTCCAAATTTTATTATATCATATAGGTACGAAAAAAGTCGAACCATACTTTCAACTACCTAGTTTCAACTACCCTAAACAATATTTTTTATACACAATTTTGTCTTAGGATTTTAAAAGTTAAACAATTTTTAAAATATTACTTATACACAATTTTGCCTTAGGATTTTAAAAGTTATACAGTTTTTAAAATATTCCATAGAGATTTTGTTTCTGTTGAGATGTCGATTCCTGTTGAGTTGTTGAACTAATGTCATAGATTTTAGAGGTTGACTTGTTGAGCTGTTGGAAAATGTTTGAGTTGTAGACAAAATGTCATAAATGTTGCCAGTTGACCTTAATATCTCCGAAATTAGAATTGTTGGAAAACTTGAAAGCTATAGTTTAGTAAACTTGTAAGAATATTAAGCAAATTATAACATTAATTAATTAGTTTATTTCTGAAAAATATTACATTAGATACCGTTATATTAAATAAAAATATAAAATTGAAATTTGTTTTAATAAAGTAGTTGAAAATTTAAATGTCAACTACCAATATACACTCTAAAACAGAAATACTTGGAAAAAATGCTAAGCCAACAATGGAGAACATATTACTTAAGATTTTAATAGAGAATAAAAACAATAATAATTTAGTTACCAATGTTGGGGATATTAATTACACAGAAGGAGAACAATTATTGCAAGATTTTAAAGAAATAACAGAGCCATTTTGCGATAATATTATGGTAGCAAAAATTCTAGATTTTAGATATTGCGAAGGGAAACCAGAAAATGGACATTTTTTAGTTAAGAAAATATCTTGTAGTAGTTGTAATAGTAATTTGAGAGCAGATTTTTCAGAATTTAAATTAGCAGGGCATGGTGTAAAAGCAAAAAAACCATATTTACTAAATAGTGAAACTAAAACCGCTTCAGGTATTAGACAAGTAATTGGTGCTAGTTTAGAAAAATATAAATCCTATGAAAATCCAGTTTTTATACCTTTTAAAGTTGAATTAGCTGATGTAAAATTAG